AGCAAACGTGATGAGGTAGATGAATTGATATTGAAGTGATATCATCCTATCAGACAGGGTAATCTAACTTGCTCGTTAAACGTTATTTATACTGATTTGGTAACTAATGTCTTATGGACTTGTAATTTTCTCTGAAGCCGTCCGCTCCTTAATGACTTTTTGCTAGGTTTAAATTGTATGCTTAACACCTGCTCGATTGCATGAAGTCTTATTAGTTATCATTAAACTTTATGTCTTAGGTTTGATAATATGCTTACCTCTGCTTTAGGTTTACATTTTGGAATATTTACTTTAGGACGATTTGGACATTTACGTCAGAAAATACTTATGTCAGAATAACATAAGGTGTAGAATGATGGGCGTCGTTGGAGCGATGGTGGTGTTTGAAACTGCTTCCCTTGAAAAGTAGGTCGTCACGGTTCAGTTTAGTCTTTAAGATGTCGTTAAAAATCATGTTTCTTTTTGCAATTCAACTGCTCGCACTATTTTTCAAATTGCTAGATTTAGGTTAAACAGATTTGAAACATAGTCAAGTCACAGCCAAAGAAACGAGTATTTTGTTGGTTTATGAATAGTCATTTACCGGCTTCAATTTTCGTACTGTACCGCATGTTCTCCAATAGATCAGATGCAGTTCAGAGCTTCAAATAAAATTTTCTGCTGAAAATGTCTAGTTTGTGATAAACAAATAAATCAACTTTCAGTACTTTATTACTTTACTCTATCCATTTTCGTATCAAAAATGATAATTACGGTTTGAGAATTAACGACCTATTGCTTATTAATGGACTTTCCGTTTAAAGTCTGCTCGGAGAACGTTGGTAGTTGTGAGCAACGGCTACAATGAGATGTCTGACATTAACAACGAATTAACTCGTTCCACTGCGGACTTGGGCAAAATGTCCTGCAACAGGGCGGTAGCTAGTGCTACTCGATCATGAAGAATCTGAACAGTAAGAATTAGTAGAAATGTACAGTAGAAAACCCTCAGACTGTTTGAATGAACATGAATGAATACCCTTCTGGTGAAGTTGTTCACCTAAAATATGCAATGTTCATGTCCGTTGTGATACCATTTCTTAAGCCTTGCCTTGTAGGTCAGAAAACAAAGAAACTGTTCAGCAGTACATGAGTTTACTTCAAGAACGAACCAACGAATCGCCTGATCTCAGACGATTGTTTTTCGATGAACTTTCCAAGATTGTCGAGTTGTCCACTTCTGTTCTCAGTATGGATTTTGTAAGTCTTAAATTTCGTATATTTTCAATGTAACTTTGATGAAGTCATTTTAGCGTGAAATTGAAAAATGGGCTGATCAGCTGCTCAGTGTATATATCGCTGAAGATAACTGCCGGTATTGTTTTAGCCTTTTATTCAGTAATTTGTATTCGTAATATTCACTTCTTACCATCATAATTTAAAGCACGATTTAATATAATTTTTGTCCAGATTTTCGGTATTGTTTATGTAAGAATTGTATATACAAGAATTATGAGATGAAGTAAAAATATTAGCACGTAAATGGACTGTACGCCAAAATTATAAGAAAACGAATTATTGTCTTGTAGAAAATTTATTTTCTATTTACTGTAATAATCTTGGAAAGCGCCTTCAACTTCAAATGCGATTCTTACAAGGTACAAACGAATGAGGCATCGAGATACGTTCCAGTTGGGTACGTAATGTGCATGATTTCGATTAGCCTGCTTGTCCTGACTTGTGATCAGAGTTTTGTAGCTGTAACTTGAGCATAAATGGTTCCCGTGCATCTGAGGCAAGAAGACGTGGGCAAAATTGTGAAATTTCACTTTAGATTAGTCAAACGTTTGTTAACACCCTGACATAGGAACGTGAACTTGCTATGTCAAGTTAATAAGCAACTGATTACAGTGCGCAGAATTGTTTTATATTTTAATATGGCAAGCACTCTTCATGACCATATCGGCTGTTGCTCGACAGCATCAGGATTTTCGTTCAAATTGCCGCAGGTAAGCAAAACGTATTTAGTTTGGCTACTCTGCTCTGATATCAGTTTCAAATTGATATCAGGGGCAGAAAAAGAGATTTGAATTCCCGTACATCTTAATCATAGTCTTTTTGTGCGTGTAAATTTTTTTTATCATTATTGTCATACAAAAATGGGTTATTAACTCATCTTCAAGGATTTTGCAGATGTAAAAAGGCTGTAGGCTGCTGTTCATATCTTTTAGAACTTCACCCCCTGATATCAGCTTGAGCAGCAAATAGTCACATGACGGTTTTGCTTGTAGTATAAGGCATTTTTAAAAATTCAGATAGACGTGGGTAAAATGTAAGCACGTCTCAGTCATATGCGAGTAAGGTGTGTCCGTGCTTCATAATGTGAGGAATTTTTAGCCTCATTAAAAATGAAGTTGTCATTTGCCTGGTATAGATTTGATATAATCCTCCATATATCATACATTCAAATTAATATGATTATTTTAACGTTTTCACCATTACGTAAACGAAATTAAACTGATTTTGGTTTCAAGGGAATCAATCCAGGCCATTGTACCATTTCGTTTTAGGTGTTTGCCGGAAGATTATGAAATCAACTTTAAATTAAACAAGGACGATGCTTCATCTTATATTGACTTTTCGTTGAAGTCAGAAATATCGAGCGGCCGGTACGCGACCTCGCTTTCCAGCGGAAGGTATTTGTCTGGATTTAAGCTGTTGACTTTACACGAAATAACAAACACTGTTTTAGCTGCGACAGTCGTTATGGAGACGTACTTCCGCCGTTGTTTCGCTTTTTACGTTTGCTCAAATCCAAACGTGACCCATCGTTGGCTGACTTTCACACAATGCTACGTAAGTCCTTCCAGGCTAAACGTTTTATGCAAATGTGTGTGTGAAATTGAACAAACAGTTTCACAGTGTGAAAACGATTGTATTTAAAATTTTCATTTGAAATCAAATAAAATGTCGCCGTTTGTCATTTCATTGGTTAGGATAAAGATGAAGTATTTTCTAAAGTTTTCTTTGACTCGGAAGGTACGTTCTAATGAAATATATCACCACATTTGAGAGGGGAATGATCTTGATTTTGTGTACAAGTTGCAGTGAGAGTATCCTTCTTTCCAGTGGTAGATTTTTAGTGTGTAAAGATCTGTCTTTGGGAAAGAAAGCATTCTGACTGAAAAGCCTGACTTAAAAACACTGAGTCCCATAGACTTGTTTTCTACTCTGTCGAAGATGGATAATTGATTCACATGTATTTCTTCAGCTTGTTTTATGGAAGTAACCGGCCTCATTTGGTATCATCAAAAGAATCTTAAAACAGTATTCTTTAGAGTTGCCAATCAAATATCCGAAGGAGTCCATTCTGTTACGATATGACTCTTTGAACCCTGAAAAACAAAAGTCACTTTTTCGATACCTGCTGCAGTGCGCCAGTTGGATCATTGAGGTACACTTTTGCTTCCGAAAAATTTATTTGAATTAAGAAAATTTCTTTAAGCTAATAAACGCCTTCTGTAGCTCAGCCAGTATGCATCAGTCACGGTGTGTCTTAGCAAGGCTAGAGCAGTTAGTAGAAATCAACCAAACGCTCGCCGCATGTTTAAAGGGTATTCATTAGTAACCTTTTATTTTTTATGGAATGGTTGTTTTTGTAGGACTTAGCGACGATAATTTGCTGGAAGATCTAACGGTCGCTATCGCACAACAAGAGGCAGTTACGAAGTTGCGAAGCTTTAAGCGAAAGACTAAAAATGAACGGTTACCAGGCGTTAAAGTTCAAACAAAGTAAGCGAATAGAAGGTAGGCTCCATCATGGCTTTCAACGACGTTTTCCCTCATCGATGTTAAAAGGTACAATGTTTGGACTAATCAGTGTTAGTCGTTTTCTCCTGTACAATGAAATGCACAGTGGCGTGCACAGATATCTAATGGTAGATGACTTTCTAGCGGGATGAAATTTTTTTGGAGTTTTGCTACAAGTGAACGTTTGAGGAATTGTTTCTCAGAGTCTCTAAACCTTTGTATTTAACATTTAAACCCTTAATCTTTTTATGCTAATTCCTTCCTTGTTTTCATTTGGTAAGCAGCATGTGGAACTTAGCTCACGAGCATAGAAACTGCTCTGTCTTTCGATAACTGGCCTGTTGGTGGGGGATGTTTAATGTTAAAGTAAAGAGCCGATCTGCGAAAGTTTGCCTGTTTTGTTTTACCCTTTATGTTTTTCAGTGTCGCAACAGTTGGCCTATAGAACACCACTTCATTCCTCTAGGTCGCCAGATTTTATTCGGTGTTTGTGATCTTCAACAATCTTTACTCTATTCTTTGACAATTTACCAATCGTTTTATACGTTTATTGACGAATAAATGACCTGCTTTGTCATGGCCGTCTCTTGTAATGCTCATCCTTTTCTCTGGTTTACTTTTCGTTGTTTCCGGTATTCTTTCTTGCGGCCTCGTTGATCTTTACATCTCATCTGTCTTTACATATCGCCAAAGTTTGTCGGCAGTTTCGTTGTCCTCGTCGAAGCCCTCCTTCATACTCCAATCTTAAGTGAAAATTACCATCTTCATCAGAGATTCCTAGCAGTCGGTCATCAGTTAAATTTTTTGTCGCCTCCATAGTGTGGGTCGAAGAACGTGCAGGGTACAGAGGCCCATTTTTATGTGTATTTTTAATCATTAATAAGCAATTCGCTGGCTGGTCTGTTATATACTGTATGGATATTGTTTTTTGCATAATTCGCTGCAGAGGCATGCATGGCGTATATCGTAGCAAAGAACAGATTTGCGTAAACAATTCCAGAACGTCTAACAGTATGCTCTTTATATGGAATATATATAGAATTATTTATCAGAATTGTCTACTGTATGTCTGGTTTCCTCTATCCAGTATGGAGTTAAGTTACTTATATTTCTGATGATCAGTTCCCTTTGTACTATCTAGGATAAATATGTATCCACTCTGAATTGAACTGTGTATGCAAAAGTATTATTTTTTAAGACATGCTGCATCTCTACTTTCATTCATCCATCTTATGAATAATTAAAAACCCATAGTGTACATTATATAACTGTAGATGAACGGTTCGGTATTCATAGTTTGGTATCTATTCACTTACGCACTATCTTCTGAATGCAGAACTATTCATCCGCAATATAATGTAATATGCATTCGTACACTTATACCCTATTTAGGTTATTATTTGCGTGGTGTACCTATGCACCAATGGTTGAGCGGCAAAATTTTACTTGTTGCTGTGTCTGTCTACTGTCTGAGGTTTACCTTGCGCTAGTTATTACACCGATTCACCCAATCAATGTAATGATATGATTATGACGTAATGCGACCTTAAGCAGCTATCACATCAGACAGCATGGTTGTACATTTCTCCCATTCTATTATGACAACAGTTTGCCATTGTAGCACAGCTCCCCGTAAAGGTTGTGGGAATGCACCGGCAAACTAACTTTTTGATTTTCCCCACCGAATATTGTACTGATGGGTGTATTATCATCGTTCTTGTCAATGAGATGTTACCTATTTCTATGTATGAGTACGATCCACCTAAATGGACCCGTGTTGTGCACTTCAAAATTCAGATGTGGGGTTTCTTATCTTTGTAAATCCACCGCATCACTCTGTGTTACTATAATAACAGCTTTCGTTCCTGAGCTTAGAGAATGCCTGAAACCAGCATACGAAGAGACTATTCAAAATGCACAGTTGTTCGATTAAGGCTATATCCCGAGCCTGTTGTGGCTATTCTAGACAGAACATTGAAAACGCTGTCATTATTTTAGGAGACAAAAGACAAAACATATGAAGAAAGATAACGAACCAGAAGCATCTGTGCCGGTAATTAACCTTGTTTTTTGTGGGGTGAACTAAAAAATAGAAACTCGTCAAGGCCTCAGGCAAAGCCGTCGATAACGCTGATAAGAATATCCGGAAGAACTGGCAACTCTATGAATCTACTGTTACGTCTTCATTCTGCAGGTAATTGGCTTTTTTTGTATGACGACCATGTTGTTCCTGGCTTTTTTAAATATTAGCAGGATTTATGGTATAAAAGCGTCTGCGCACACATTTGATAAAATGAGGTTTAGAATGTTGGTAACTTTTTGTTGTGTTGTTGATTGTTGATATCTTCACCTTTGGCCCCCTTTAATATGCACAACGTCTTCGGTTTGTGATTTCTGCTGTATCCGTAGCCTTTCAACGCACTTGCTATAGGACGCCGGTTCCTTCATCGCAATACAAAATATTTCTCTCTCAGCAAATCTGTTTTTTAAATTTGTTCCTCCACGTTGCATACTGGCCTCCTGCTCGATGCTGCCATCTTTTGAATCCCACACGAGACGAGCACGATAAATAATGTATGCTCAACCAGTTTTTTAATAGGGCCAACCTCTCTTTTCTAATCTTCAGAAGAAAATGGAGTTGTTCCTTACGTTTCCTGCCATTTGACCTACACTATGCGTCTAAAGTAACGTCATCAAATTGCCTATTATGTGCAGTTCAAGCGTCAAGCGTCAGCAAGGTATCTGGCCCGATCTACCTGAGCTGTGCTTTCCCTCTAATGTGAGATTGTTTTAGAGAACAAAATCAGAAAAATATTAAATAGCACATCTCCCTCTCCACAATCAATGGGGAATTATTCAGATAGCTCTTCATCTTCGACTGCATGAATGGTGCCTGCATGCACCTCTTCCAAAGTGAAGCGACATGTGCAGCTATTCCATGGCAATGCAAGATGTAGCATATCGTCGAACCCTGTACTGAATCAAATGCAGCTTTAAAGTCGAGGAAACTGGCAAACCAAGGAAGCTGGAATCGTCGACATTCCTCATTCGTCGATCCTACGCAGAGTGAAAATTTGCTCGGGGCACTCCATCTTGTCCTGTTTCATTTGGACGAAGACTCCCATCAATTACTTACTCAGCTATTCCTTGATCATCCGGGAAAAAAGTTTCCAGGGAGGTGACATTAGTCTAGTCCCAGACTATTTTGAACACTCAGTCCTCAGTTCTCTTTAAATATAAGGACAGTTAATTCTCACCTCCATTATCCTGGGAAACGCTTGTAGATCCACATTCCATGAGTATGGAGTATTTCTTCTATTCTCTTTCCTCTGTAATTAATTAACTGTGGAGGAGTTCGATCCACCCCGCAGGTTTTTTTCACCTTTAAGTGTAACAGTACTTTTTGGATTTCTAGTTGTGTGGGTGGATCTGTACTTACCGTCAGTGTTGGTAGATAGTTAACAGTCAAAAATTACGAATCTGAAGGTCAGTCATTGAGTGATTGTTGGAACTGATCAGCTCATCTTTTTCAGCTGTCATTAGACCCCCTTTAGCGTTTTTATAAGGAAAAACTAAGCCACCTGCTTACCGCACAACTGTCACGCCCATTGGCAGCTCGTTGCTGACCCTTTCTGGCTGCCCTGTCGATATTACTGATATCCCGCTTCATAAGTGCACGGATGAGACGTCGATGATCTGCCTTCGACGATGTAGTTGTTTACTACAAGTACTCCTTTCGTCTGATTCCTTTACACTCTAGAGAATAGTGTTTTTCCGTAACCGAGGCATTTTCACTATTCTCTTCTTGGCCCCAAGTTTTTTGTCCAGAAAATGACGCAGGTTTTTTTAAACTTCGCCATCGTTATTACCTCCCGACTGAAATAGCTCTCTGCTTGGTTTTGATACGCTGATCGTGCCGCTTCGTCATATGTTAGCCCGTTGAGCAGATGAGTGTGTCTCATCCAGATGACGCTATTTTAAAGGAACTTCCGCTACGACCATGTAGTCATTAGACCCCTTATAGAGGTCACGTCTCAAGTGATTATCGAATAATCAACTGGGTCATTTACGGCTGATGGGGACTTGCCACATGATGGTATTTAAACGAGCTGCTTACTTCCATCTGGTAAAGTCCAGGTTGTTTGGTTAAGTAGCTTAATAGGAAAAAAATTTACCGCCGGTGATTAGGCTGTTTGTCACGCTAAAGCTTTGCGGTTTTCTTCAGTTGGCATTCGCTCTCTCAAAATCGGGACTCTGGCTATGTGCTATAGTTGGCACCCACCTCGCATTGGAGTCGTTTATGGCGGCATGAGGCAGCAAACTGCTGACTGCTGACCACAAGCAGTCAGAGTAACTCTTTCTTGCTGTTACTCGACACATGTCAGGGAATAGGTGGCGATGACATTCAGCCTTGCCTGTCTGTCATTTTCGCTATAGACCCGGGCTTCTCAGACATCGGTTCCACATAAACGACCGCCTTGTTTACCACAGCGGACTGAAGGTACCCGCACCACCACAGCGTAATATGTTATCACCCGCGCACCAATATGATTTCCCATGCTGCATTCAAGCGTCCCGTTCTTTGGCACTTCTTGAGCGCAGTGTAATATATTAATTTTTTTGGAAGTATCGTCTGATATTATTAGGCGATTCAGCCACAAGTAAGAAAACAAAATTGAATGTTATATGACTAATTTAGATTAATTGAGCGGATCTGACCCTTCGACTTGTTCAAGGAAAGAATTTCTTCCTTCTGCAGACTATGGTTTCATGATTGTACATCGAGCTCTAAAATTCTAGATATCTGACACTTTCAAGGCAATTTAATTATGTGGAAAAGCTAGTGGTAAATCTGTTTCATGCCGATTTATGCTTTTCTGTTTCCCTTTGCATTTTTTTATTGCTTTTTGCAAACGTTTTGTTTCTAGAGAGTTGGATTTTCAAGCATTTGCACTGCTGAAGCACAAGGTGAAAATTGAGGTAATTTTAATCTAGCTAGCTATATGATGAGCCGTATTTGTCAACTCGTTGAACTGAAAGACAGCTGTTGCAGTTTACTGTTGTTCAAAATAAATACAGCTATTTCGACGATATGTTTACGGTTTCATGCAGTTAGCATAAGATTGCTGCTCTGCACGCTCGCTAAGTCAGAACGACATTGATGTCTAAAAATCATGAATTTCGAATGAGGTGAAAACATAAATATACACTTTGGACACTGTTTTTCTCCGGACTTTGTATTTACAGAATTGAAAGCATGTTCCTTAAATTTTCTTATGTATATTCCATATCCCCAAGCTCTATCCAAAAGATGCAAGATGTTATCTAAAAATCTGAGTAGGCTTTCACGACAGGTAATATCTGCAAGGGTTTCTCATCTGTCGTTTCGGATAATTTTTGAGTGCCATTTTTTTGACTAAATTCCCTGAATATTTCCGTGAGCTGTATGAGTCCCACTTACCGTACCATGGTTAACTGATCCTTTTTGGTTACTCT